GTTTTCCGTAGTTCTTCATTCTGGACTCCAGTCACAGTAAGGGAGCATAGAAATGAAATATAAATAAACAAATGTTTTATTTGGAGCAGAAATATGTGTTTCATATAACATGTTGTGCTACGCGTGACGCAACAAAGACAAATGCAACAAAATGTGTCATCCGAGAACTTTTTGCTTCGAAACTTTACAACAGTATTAATTATACAAGACATATTTTAATACTTTATACTTTTTCATGCATTCTCCGTGTGTCTGAGCTGCCATCAACGCTATCAGTAGAGGAGCTTCCAAATGTGTGGAGTTATGATGCTAAGACTAACTAATAAACGATGACTAAAACCAAGAGTGTTTATCTAAAAAGCAGAAAACTATTTGCAGATTAATTTCACGTGCCTAAGAAAACACAAAGGCACTTTTTATGGTGAAGTTTAAAAGATACACAGCAAGTATAAATATTCTGAGATTCTAAAAGTACACCTCTCTATATATTTTTTTAGGTTACTTTAATAATTTAACTTAAAGAATGCAACTCTACAGGTACTTTACACACCAAGTGGTAGATTTCAACCACCTATTTCTTTTAATTTTGATGATTATGATTTATGGCTAGTTAAAACCCAAAAGTCAATTTCTCAGAAAATTGGAAAATGACATAATATTAATGAAAAAAATAATTTCTTATTCATAAATTTTTGCTTCATAAGGATTCTTCATGTACTGTACAGTATATCCACTCTATGTTGGGGCTCCTTTTGCATGAATTATTGCAACAATGCAGCAATCCTCTCCTCTCCTCTCCTTCCTTCTGGGACCTTGATTTTCAAATGAAATATAAAATGTGCTTTCTTTTTTGTTTACAAAAAAAGAGTGCTGCTTGTCATCCCTGTTGCTTCTCCATATTTTGACATGCTAGGACAAAGCAGCCATCTTCTCTTGCTGTGACCTTTCTGTAGTTCGTGCTGCTTGTGGAAACCTGTCAATATTTTTCATAATTATAAAAAATTAAACAAATTACCCCTCAACACATTTCACTCTTGGCAGTGAATGTGACATTTACTTTTTGAACTGAATTTGCAAACTAAATAAATTATTGGATGATATCCTAATTCATTTTAAAAAAATGCACTTCAATGAAACTCCAAGATCAGGAGTTTACAGCAGGAGAGGTTGCCACTGGTTTGACTTGTGTTTCTGTCGAGGCTTGGACTATACAAGTGTCATTTGGCAGCTGTTGGGACGGCGCTTGTCCCAAATGCCTTTGTGACCTGCTACTGCCGGCCGCAATGTGGCCCAACCGAGGGTCAGAGTCTATCTCGTACCGGTAGTAATAGCCCTCCAGAACGTCCCGGCACGCGTCCCTCGTTTCTATGATCCACTTCTTCATGCCGTTTCGATTCAGGTAGAGCACAAAGAGAAAAACCATGCCGACAAAACCCAGCACCACCCCCAGGAAAACGTACGACGTCTGCAAGGTGAGGTCAGCCACCTCGGCCAGGACCGGAACTACACAACCAATGGCCTGGACGGTGAGCCCTTGCAGCCGGGTGTCGGCTAACGCCTCCGGTGATGCACATCTGACCGCGTCAGCATCCACCCGGGCTCTGGTTTTATTCAGCCAGGTCACAAAGTCCCGGCTCTCACAGGAGCAGGTGTACGGGTTGTAACCGAGAAAGATCTGAGCGTTGCCGAGTCTCTCTAGTTCTTGCAGGGCGTCGACCCTGAACGCCTCGAAGTTGTTGTGCGTGAGGTCCAGGGTCTCCAGATGGTCCATGCCGGAAAAGGTCCCCGCATAGACAGCCACCAAGTTGTTGTTCCTGAGCAAGAGCTGCTGCAAACTGGGAATGTGGGAGAACATCCCGGGCGGGAGAAGGGCCAGGAGGTTTCCGGAAAGGTCGAGGCGGCGGAGCCCCCAGAGTCCGCCCCAGCGGAGAGCCGTGGCCAGGTCGGTCAGGGCGGTGAAGTTGTGCAGCGAGTGGCTCAGGTTGAGCTCCTGAAGGGGGCTTCCAGGTATGCTGAGTGCCTCTGGGTGGATTAACGCCAGCTGGTTACCACTGAGGTCCAAGGAGCGCAGACTGGTGAGACCGGCAAAGGTGTGGGAGGCCAACTCTGTGATCCTGAGAAGACGACTAACACTGTGACAACCGCTCTTAGACGTTCTGATGCCATTCTTATGCTGAATAACACATATAGCATCTTTAAAGGAACAAACACGGCCACAGATAAAGCCACTGTTTCTTTATTACATACACACACCAACAAAGTGTTACATTAACCAAATATGGCTTTAAATTACACAACTAAAAAACATGACACCGACATTCTCACCTGTTATTGCTTAAAATGACGTTAGTGACATTCTGCAGTTCTGTAAACGAATCTGGTCCGACTTGATGTATGTTATTCCCTGTGATGACGACACTCCGGGTATATCCTGGAATGTTTTGTGGCACTACGAGCAGATCCTTAGAGACACACTTCACCGTGCGGGTGACTGCAAAACATTCACAGCCAAAAGGACACGCCAAGCACTGCGAGGGTGCAAGCAAAAGGAGAACTCCTAGAAAAACACAAGCTGCCAAAATGCACATGTCTGCAGAGTTGGAAACAAAGAAGTTGCAGATGAAAATGACAGCAGAGAAAAATGCGACCTGTTCCTTCTAACGCTGAGTTAGTGGCAAGGGCTGCTTGTTCCAGCAGTAGTGGCTTCTCATCTGCTCCACTGTGGGAATAAGGGTTCCCACAAATTGATGGTTGCTCCTATCGAACTGAATCTGCTTGCTAAAAAAAAGGTATGTGGTTCCCTTAAAGGTACAGGGGACGATTAGATTAGAGCGGCCACAGCCACTGACCTACACCACCGTCTGACAGAGGACACAGTGGAAGAATATCAACAATTACTTGCTAAACATACAAAAAAAAATATACACAACAATTATTAATCAGTAGTTAGATAGCTTTCAAAGCAGATCTGTTCATAGTCCTGAGTCTTACTCCAGTGACATTCCAGGTTGCAAAGATAAGTGAGTATTTAGTATTTGCTTGCAAATAAATGAATAAATAATTTAGACAAATTCAAACGAGGACACTCCCAAGTTACACCCCCCCCCCCACATCATTCTATCTTTGGTAGCGACTCGCATCTCATTCACAAAAAAACTGATGAGGATGAGAACTTTCAGCATTAAGATTTCAAATCCATCTCATAGCGATTCATCACCGGAGTCAACATTAGGTGCCGCAGAAACGGATTCATCACTGTCGCTCATGAAAAATGCAACTTGCCGCTCCCCTGCGGCATATTACGGAGAAAATGAACCTCCTTAATGTGACTATTTTTCCCAAGAAAAAGCATCCAGCATATTGTAAGTTAACAAAACTTAAAAAAAAAATTACGAGCGTGAGAAAATATTTGCGGACCCTGTATTGCACCGTTACTAAAACAAAACAAAACTCTGTTCCACAAAGGATAAATATCACATTTTAGAGCTAGATAAGATCCATAAATATTGAAAATATGAAACTTAAATAAATCATAACCAGCTTTTCATAGCAGACAAAGGATTTTAAAAGCACTTTTTGAGAACAAAAAGACATATGAGCCAATACTTGCCTCCTAAAAATAGGAGGCAAGTATTTATGAATGATGATGTATTTTCTGAAGTCAGTCTGTTGGGCTTCTGCTATGCTAAGGACAAGGACTGATTTCATCATTAAAAAATTAACAGAAATATATTGAATGAATATGTAGATTCTTATTGGCATAGCACAAAAAAGGACAGAGTGAGCACATCTGCTGTAGAGATGATCTGTGTAGGAAAGACAGTTGGAAGTAAACAAGTAAAAAAAGATAAATTTCAACCAAAAACAGTCTCTCCACTGGAAACACTGTTTGGCCAGGGATTATGAAATATTGGGGATCTGATTTCAAGCCAGAGATGAGGGATGGGCTCACAGCACAGCTCATGCTGTTAGACAGCATGAACTGTACTATTCATGCTGTCTAAGTAGGGGGTAAAAAGCCAGATGACTCTGGGTGCTGTTTGTCAGCATAAAGTTTATCAGGTAAGAAAATACTCTTTTTAAATTGGCCATTGCTTGTTATAATAATAACTGATTTTAGATATAATGCCCTTTACATCTCTAGATCTTAGTCATTTTTTTATGTATCTGTTGTCAAAACCTGTGCTAAAGTCCACAGATTAATCTGTGACCAATCTCTCCAAACGTTTTCCCTGCTTTTTGCTCGTGATATTTACTTCACTTCTGTCTTTACATAGGAGTGTTTGTCTGCAGTCTTGGGTATAGATCAACATTTTCACCTCCATCCATTAGTAATAATTTGAAGCGACTTTTAGGGATAAACATTTCGTTGGGTGCTAAATAACTGCAGACAGAGCTAGATGCTGTACTCAGAGTAATGTTTTCTCAACTATATTAAAGTGATATATTAAACACAAGCTGATTATATGGATAAAGGCAAAGCTTGCACAACCACTGCACGGGTTGATAAGATAAAGTAGGCTGTTCTGGTGAGTTGTTTCGAGGAACATGCGGATGGATGTCTGTGCATATCCAAGAAACAATGTTGGACAGAACCGAAGTGGAAATTACATTTGTCTGAATGCTGCCAGAATGTTAGTGTTTCAAATTACAGTTTCTATAACTAGCTTTCATTCACTACAGTAGAGAAAATACACTCTCAGAAAGCTTTTAAATCCCTGTGTAGAATGCCTGTTTGGTAGGTCTCCACGCTACTGCTCACAGGCAAGATTTCGCCTGACTTCTCACAGTTCAATGGATAAATTCCTATGTACTTCTTCACTGTATGATCTCAAATTCTTGCTGTTAATTTTGCTATCGCTGCTTTTGTACTAGGTGAACATTGCACTACACACTAAAGCCAGAGTTTGGTGATTCAGATTTAAATTATCACTCTTCTGCAACCTTTGGCTGCGTTCTGAGCAGAACTGTGCCTTTCTCCCCCCCTTTATGTTGTTTTATATATTTCTTGATATTGCACATGTGATTTAATACAACTGTCGGGAACTGCAACACTGGATACAAATGATAAGGTAAAGCTGCAAAAACAATTATACAAATCCTTTAAAAACAACAAGTAAGCTTGTTAAATTAAACATAACGAGTCGTTCCATTTGATATTTTGCAAACGTCCCATCAAAACACACACCACTCATGTCAGTGACAGTGTACACAGCATCACTAAAGCCCTCTCCTGGTGCCGCTCGCTGCATTACTGTAGGTTCAGAGTCAAGATGAACGTGGCGAGGACCCCACAGAGCATGACGAAGGGGAGCCAGGTCTTCAGGACGGCTGCCCAGCTGAGGGGAAAGAGAGACCGTGTGTTAAAGACAACACCTGCAAACATCTCTTATAACAGATGCCCTTCTAGTCGATTCTAAAGGACACAACCATTTTAATCCCCAGAGGCTCCATGACCTGCATCCCACCAAACCATCCAGCTGAGAGGTGACCTCCAGCGGTGGCGCGGAGGGGAGCGCCGCCGTCAGTGATGAATTGCCCGAGACTCCTTTGCTGTGGGAGTGTGTAGGAAGCGGCAGCACAAACTGTGGCTGTATTGTTCTCTATGTGGGTCAGCGGAGAATAATGAGAGGGGGGGGGGTTCTCTGTGCCATATGTCTCTTAATGGAGCCGGACTCTGGCAGCGGGGCATTTTTCCAGACGGCGTATACGCGGCTAAAAACAAGACGCCTCATGTTTGATGTTTAAGTTTAGGGCTACACATATTCACACACATTTTTATTAATCCTTCTGTGTCACTTTTTATTTCTAATCTCTCTGCTTTCTCAACGCAGAAGGTGTTAGGATTTTATCTACAAGAAATAAAAGGAAAAGTGATTTTGAGTCAATAAAGAAAATTAATTCAACCTGCTTATTTTGAACTAATACGATTTGGCAAGATAACGTCCTCTTTTTTATTTCCATACTTTAGTTATAGTCATCAAGTGAGAGATCATAAAATTTCTCAAAGTTGTTCATGGCATAATCACCCCACACTCCTTCAACTCAATCATTAAAAAGCAAACAGGAAGTAAAGTTTTTACTTGTAGGTACGAATGCAAAAAAACTATAACTACAAGTGAACTCACAAGTCTTAAAGGTAAGGAATAAATGCAGATTGTTGGTAAAAAAGGAGGGTTAAAGGGTTAACGGGCTGGAAGGCCAACTGAATAAATATGAGTCTTTTATTTCCATCAAACAATATATAAAAAAAGCACATCAAATGAAGTCCCTCTCTGATGGTGGAGCAACAGCTGTGACTGCTGCCGCCTTTTATATTTTTAGACAGGAGAACAAACAAGCGGCGCCTCTCTGAAGGATCTGAAGGATGAGAAACGGTTCCTTTAAAAGAATGTGTTCAGTTAAAGTAAGAACTTTGAAAGCAAATTGGACATTTCAGTGTCTAAATGCAGGAAGCACGTACAGACAAACCCTTCAAAACATACAGCTACAACTGCAGAGAAAGTTTGTTCAGCAACGTATGAGCTCAAAGACAATGGATATAAAGCCTGATGCGCTGTTCAGAATCTTTTTTTTTTTTTTTAAAGTTTGAACTCTATCATTTTGCCTCGACTTAATACAACACTTGGTTGTTTTCTGATGTATCACACTGGGTCCAAGTCAAATAAGTTGAAGCTTGTGCTGCAACATGAGAAACAAGTAAAAACATTAGCAGCTATGCTTTTGGAAGACGCCGTAACTTACAATCGAACATGTCCTGGAGACATTGGAGAAAATAAGTCCGATTTTATGAAAACTCGCTAAACAATCTGTGCTGAAAGTTTGCAAACACGGAGACATTCGGCTCTAACTTGCATCATCATGAAAGCTTTTGAAAAGCTTGTCGATAAGTTTTTCAAATGTCTAATTGACGTATAAATTAGACATTTTACAATTTCCAGCAGGTGTGATAGAAGGGTTTAAAATCTAATCTTAACGCTTCTTAAGTTCATTTTTAAACGCACCTTGGTTTTCATGCACAGCTGCTGTTTTTATATTTTTCTCCTGCTTTTAATTGAATCCAGTCTTACAGTTTGCCTCCTAAATTATTGACTAATTTTAACCTGTGCCCAACTTGTTCTTGGCAGGGTTTTAGATGTTCTTGGTGACAGATCCAAGAACGTCTGGGTGAATGAGTCTAAGTCAGACGAGGGGTTTTCCTCCGCCGTCTCTCCTCTGGGCTGCGTTCTCTGTCCCATATTGTATATCCTGTTGCAACGACTGCAGGAGTCATTATACAGGACAACACATTTTTACTGTCAGTCTGCTAAAGGGAGAAGATCACCCACCTGGTCAGGTGAACATCAGAATAAAAATTCTTAATCAAACTAAATGATAACATCTGCCTGTAGCATGCAAGGTATTTAATTTTATGTACTAATTGTTGACACTGTGACTGTATGAAAGTGTTTTCCTTTACGGTTGAAGAGAGAAAGAAAACCTTCCACCTTAGTGGATAATAAAGTTTTATTTTATCTTATCATCTGATCTTACAGAAACATTTTCAAAAACAGCCACACAGAAGACAGAAGACATTCTTCCCTCTCCTTGTCGATCACTTCATGGTGAATTTGAGCTGCTACCACCTGGAAAGCGATCCAGACCGCCTGGATCAAGAAGCAAAAGATTGCTTCTTCATTTTAATATGATTGTTTTTAATATATATTTTTTTAAAGTTATTAATAACTTTAATAGTTTTCTTTAATGTTTTTGAAAATGTCATAGCATGATTGTGTCTGCATGTATTTTTTATTTTATTTTTTATTTTTCTTTCCACTTGGTTGAAAGGGAAAAGTTTCCTGCAGGGACAAAAACAAAGTGAAACTGATACATGTTTACAGTTCTAGGACCGGAGGCTGAAGTGAGTGTGAACAGTTTACCTCACATGCTTCCCATGAATGAAGGACAGCACACACAGGTTCACCATGTTCCAGGATGAGCTGTTGTCATACCGCATCAGGTTTAAAGCCATCGCAACGTGGGAATGACAGTTATCCATGCACAGGTTGTGCTTCAATGCGACAAGGGGGAGGAAAGAACAACAACAAAAGAAGACGTGACTAATTCTGCAGCAGCATGAATTAAGATGAATAAAATACATTGTATGCAGTTGTACCGGCCTGCATTTGTATTCCTCAGATGCATCGTGCACTGCTTGGTCCCACGTTGCTGCACCGTTACCACAGACTTTATCCACATCGAGCCTCCAGTACCTACAACATAAATCATTGGCGTGTTGATTTGAATAACAGCGTTTTGAAACAATAAAAATACCAGAACTTAGTTATCAAACCTACTTTGTGGGTCGACCAAACCCCATGTTATCCTCCTGAAAGAGAAATTAAATATTTTATATGGTCTAACAGCCAAAACTTTCAACTAAGCTACAGAAATGCAAGACAATTTGACAATCTACATGCTAGTTGTCATTACAGCTGATGTTTTGTCACGTGAATCCAAAGAATCAGAAGAGAAGAGTAACTGACCGAGACAAAGTAAGATCCCGCAAAGTCTCGTATGACCCCTGAAGAGGTGCAGATGCCCATGTGACCGATGAAGGGGAGCACCCACCTGCAGGATGGATTGAAAGAATGAGTCAGTTCAGGTTCAACAGAACACGATCTGTGCTGTGCATCTAATGCATCTGTGCAAATGAACGCAAAACAACACGGCCAGGACTAATCTGCTTTGACCGGATGTTGAGGGGGAAAATAGCAGTCAGCTGACAAGAGTTGTCAGCTGCAGCGTTCACCTCTCTAGAAAAGCAGGATTGGGATTTATTAGCTTCTTACGATAAAATCGGAATAGGCGTCCAGACAATGCAGTACGGGTAGCGGCAGCTTTTCCTGCCGCTTTTTAGGAAATCACCCTGGAAGTTCACCATGATGTCGGCGTCGTCCACCTCCGCCATCACAGCCTGAGATCCCAGAGGGAGACCCAGACGACGCTGACGCAAACGCAGCGTGGAAACGGAAGGGTATGGCAGGCTGTTGTGGCATATAATCTGACGGGACGCGTGCGTCTTGTTTGAACTTCATTTAAAATCGTGTAAAAATTCATAAAAACTTCAGTTGACCGTCTCGGTACTCAGTGACCGATATGCAGTGCCATGCAAAAGTATTCAAACTTCTTCAACTCGTCTTCATTTATGTTACAAGCTCAGACCTCAATGTGTTTTATTACAAACTTAAATTTGTGCTTATTTGTGAAATGGGAAGGAAAAATAAGATTTTTTTCGCCCCGCACAAATAAAAATCTGAAAAGTGGGCCCTGTTTAATTTGATACCCATAAAATGGTAGATTCATGGGCATCCAGCTTCATGAATCTACACGTTCAGAACTTTGAAAGTGCTTTATAGTTAATATCAAAATCAAATGTAATCATCAATTGTGTTAATGTCTAAAATATACTTTTAAGTATGAGTTCCCATTATTATTATCATTTTGAAGTAACATTGTCTAAAATTTCTAAATTCTTATCCCTGGCCAGAGCTCCATTTTGATGCTGTTTACTATTATTCACTAACAAATCTTTAAAGGTTTCACAAGTTTGTTTTATTTTTGGGCAATCAGAGTACAGGGTCTTGTATGCTTTGTGTTAGAGCATCACAGAACGTCTCAGTAAAATACCATCAGTTTTATGGTTGGACTGTGACGAGTTCAAAAGGTATTACTACCAGGTATTATTACCATTCTGTATGTGTATAGTTTAGTGTAAATGCTTTAATCTGTGTGATTAATAATAGGAATAGTGACAGAACAATATCAGTCAGTGTGTGGTTAATTGAGCATGCACATTGAGACCTAAATCAATTCTACTTTACTAGAGACATACTGCACACTGCCAGAAGACTGTAGGCGCCTGAAGCATTCTCCATTTCAACATAAAATATAGCGCCACAAAATAACTCAAATTAGCAACTAGAGAAGTTTTTCCAACTCAAATAATTTTATCCAAATGTTCCTTTTAGAGGCACTATTCTTTGGAGCTGGCTACTCTCATTTCTGCTGTTTTTAGGACATTTTGTTGCGCGATAGTCAGCAGAAATGAGGAGAAAAGCACACGGTGACGAATGAGCATACAGCAGCTTGAGACAGTGGGCTACATCTTCCTAACCTAGATAGTATTCTGTCTGCACTGATGTTTTAACTTGTGCAAATGTTAAATGTTTGTGGGAATAATGGAACAAAAATGTAAAAGACAAAGAAGTTAATAGTCTTATTTTAATTTAAATTAATCAAAGCTCACAGGATTCCCTGGAAGAAAGGAAAAAAAACAACTGAGAAGCGCAAATGAAAGTAAAACACATGGAAGCCATGTTATTTTAATTGGGGGTCAAAGGAAATTCAGTGAGCTGTACTCCTGATGAGGTGCAGCTGTGCATTTATTTATTTATTTATTTTTTAATTAACGTCACCGCTTCGTCGTGAGAAGCCTCATGCAAGCTGAAAAACCGGCAACAGTGGACAAACGGGGAAGCCATGCAGCCAGGAACTCCATGGTCACGACTATTTGAGCCAAGTTATAACACAAATCTCCTGCTTATTCCTAAAAAAGTTTGAAATTTCATCTTATATGCAAATAGAGTGAAATCGAAAAGAAAAAAAAATGTTACAAAGTTATTTGTGTTACAAATACTCCCTTGTCAACAATCTACTCATTTTATATGCATTTTTATAAGCTCTAAACTAAAATGAACCAAATTAGGTCAGAATAAAACAGAGAGAACCTAAACATTAATCCTTGGCTGTTTAAAACACAGATGGTAAACTTTGGCAGAAGAAACTCTTGTTTTTCCTGACAGTTCAAACTATAAATACATTTTATCTCAGCAACAATCTTCACAACATGAGGAGCTACTCTTCGTTCCATGACTTCCTGTAATGCAAACTCCATCCGAGTCCAACGTAGCATCAGCGACGTGTGTGTGTGTGTGTGTGTGTGCGTGTGCGTGCGGCTCTTCCGTCTGGAGCGGGACGCTGGGACGCTTCGCTCCATCCGTGGAGAAGACAGTAGATCTGTTCTGTGACCTGAAAATAGGTCAAAGGAACCCACGCCGCTTCCGCCTTGTGTTGCGAGACTCTCCGACAAAAACCTGAGAAGGTATAAGTGCTGCACACCTCCTTCCTTGTGAGAAACTGGGGAGTGATGTGGAAGGCGCTCTCCTCAAAAGCCGTTCCCGCCCGCCGTCACAGCGGAGCGGGCGCTGTTGGTACTTAGAAAGCATGAGAAGGGAGCTGCTGCCTTTTCGTCAATTCCTCTCCTAAAAAGTGCCACCAGCCCTGGCGTGGGACGAAGGGAAGGCGGTGCATAGTGCAGGTAGGTGACACGGCAGACGGCTGATGTTCTGTCAGCGGAAGCAGGGTTCAGGTGTTAAAAGCGGAGTCTGGGAGAGTCGTCTGCTTCCTGAAGCCGTTCTACAGAACGCACGGCGGTCTGTTTAGCTCGTCCTGCACTGCACCGGCCCCTCCGAGCTGTCCTCGTCGTCTGAACCGTCGGGGCCGACGCCACGCAGGCCTGTGATGCGATAACCCATGTTCAGAAGCATTACCTCTAACGGATCGGCATTCATTCGCCGCTGATTCGCCTGAGCAGCTCCCTCCATGTCCTCCACCACGCGCCCGTTGTCACGGTCGGTCTGCCGGAAAAGAAAACAGCCCTGTCATGATAAAACATGAGCTGGACGACAATATTGTTGCTTTGTGGCCATTTTCAAGTGACGAATTTACTATGGCATAATAAAATAATGTAAATTTGCCCTCTTAAAAACCAATAAACTTTATCTGTGTAAAGAACACTGGAATCTGAAAGATAAATGAATCTCATTCTTAATCAAACCCATCCAATTGTACACATTTCTAGCTCGCTGATCAACAGTGTTCAAAAGATAAATAAATAGTTTGTTTACCTCTGGTCTGGGGTTCCATAATCGTACCACAGGGTCAATCCCACTAGTAGCCAGGAAGCAGTAGCTTGGGTGCGGCTGCAGGCAGTTGACTATTGACTCATCTCCCTGAAGGATCCTCACCAGGTTAGTCGTTTCTTTTTCCCAGATGAAAAATGAGCCATCATCCGAGCCGCTGACGATGTACTGGCCCTTGCTGGAGAGGAAATAAAACCGCTTAGACTCGTTTGTTGAGTCTAACCTTCTTGGGAAGGTTGCTAATCTTAAAGTTTTACAAGAAAAATTTTAAGCCCTTTTTCCAATTGAACGACTTAGGCAGAATGCAGATTTTTTCCCAGTAATTTTATGAAAGGTAACAGAGCAGGATATTCTGGTATGTGAGGTTCAGAATGAAGTGACACAATCCGTTTGGTTACTCGGCTCAACAACAAAACGCGACGACAAACCGGACGAGGTTAATCAATGCTGAGTCATAATGTGGCATGACACATTAGGACGTGCAGCCGCTTGTGGGTTCACCGACTAAACGTTTAAATGTCTGAAAGCTCAGGACTAATTAACCAGCTGCTCTAAAGTCATAGTACTTTTGAAATATTCAGTTAATTGTTATGGCATTCAGTCTGTTCACACCATCTCTGTCTGCTGGCTGTGTTACAAATACACAACAATGTCTGATTGTTGTCAAGACATCTGAGAAAGGTTACATAAAGGAGAACATAACAGACATACAGCATCTTGCACAAGTATCCAAACTTTCTTAAACTTACAACCTTAAAAACTATCAAGTATTTAAGAGACGGGTCAACAGAAAGCAAGAGAAATGTTAAGTAGTTTTACATGTTTTTGTGCCAATAACAATCTGAAAAGCTCTATAGATTTACATTCAGTCCCATTTAGTCAGATGCTCTAAACCGTGCAAACTTCTGCGTTCAGAGGTCAGAGCAGTCCTTCCATAAAAGGACTGTTCAGCATCTGTTCGGATGTCTTTCTTCTGCAGCAACAGAAATGGGAAGATGGACAGAGCTAAAACAGGGCAATAAAGGAAGAAAATGTCTCAAGCACGCCACTTGAGACCGAGATCCAGCAAAAATAATGACCCTAAACACACAGTACAGAGCCTGAAACACAACCAGAACACCAATCAATCAGCCGCTGATCTGAACCATTTCACATCAGCAGTCTCCGCTGATGTGAAATCAGCGGAGACTGATTTCACATCAGTCATCCAGCGAACCGGCTACTTGTTCCAAAATCTCTGGGAGTGGTTACAGAAATGCACCAGAAGAGCGACCAACATGGCGGTGGTAGTAGCAACCACGATAGCGAGGTTTGTGCAACGGCCCAGCTACACAAACAGATTAATGGATCCTGGTTTTTCAAAATAACAGATGTTTCACGGCGTGACCATCATCAATAATAAATTTAAAAATTAATTACTGATCCACTGTCTGCAGTACCAGATGAGACGCAGACCGGCACCCGTCAAACCGTTTTAGAAGACAAAATGAAAATGACTTGGACTGAATCAAAACTTAAATCAGCTAAACTTACTCCCATTAGTTTAGCTGGACAGACATTTTATAAATATTTTATATTTTGTTGCATTGGTGACACTTATCTTGTTACATGATTAAAAAATGGGCAGAGATACAAACAGTGTGATCAGAGCTGACAGTAAACACACAGCTGTAGACTGCCCCCTAGTAACAGAACAGCTGAATGACAGTGTGGTGCACCGACCTCCCGAAGAAGTTGGCCTCTTTGATGTCGGTGGTGGTGTTGCAGTGACCACAGTATCTGTGCTTGTAGTCAAAACTGCGCTCCCTCAACACCACCTCGTCCTCAGGGATGGACTCTTTCCGGCTGAACGACTGGAAACGAATGGAGCTGTTGCCCTTTTTATCTTCTGCAGGTGAAGACAAAAGCATTACACATTTTAACTACTTTGAGATATTTCCTAATAAATAATTAGAATGCTAAAGCTACGTATGCCACTGCTAGTTTCCCTATTTTTCTCTTTTTTTTTTTAGGTTACTATAAATGTAAAGCTTTGTAAAGATTATTGCTACAGCAGCTTAAATGTCAGAAACCAAAAAAAAAAGGAGAATATCTACAGGTTACAAATCAGCCAACGAGAAGTGTCCCATCTTCCCACCTGAATCCGACTTGGAGTAAAGAGCAGCCTTGATGTCTTTATCCAAGGCGTCACAGGCACTGCTATGCGCTTGCTCAGGAAACTTTCCTTTGAAATCGTCCAAACACTCCAGAGCCTCGGCCACATACTTCAGCTCAAACAGACACCGTGCCAGCCTGAAATGTGCTTTCAGATGTCCTGGGTTCAGGGCGAGAGCCTTCACGCAATCCCTGAGGGCGTCATAATGGTCTCCATCCCTGTAAGTCACATCCAAAAATAGAAATGTTACATTGCTACTTTAAAATCATACAGATAATAGTATTTTTTTTTTTTTTGTAATAATGATGTAACACAAACCATTTGCGCTTCATATAGGCTGCAGCCCGGTTCCCGTACAGCATGGCGTTGCCCCTGGCCTCGTGAATGCCTAAGCTATACAGCTGGATGGCCTGCGTCCATTGCTGGCGGGCGAATGCGTTATTGGCCTGTTGCTTTATTTTCTCCAAGTGAGGAGAAAGCTCCGTAAAACTAGAAGAATGAAGCAAAAAAGCAAGAGCTTCTGTAAAGCTAACCCATGTATTAAAGCAGATAGAGCTGAATCCTACCTGGACTGTGTTTTGCTTTCTGTAAAGCGAATGTGGCCGGGCGGTAAGTGGATGCCATTAGAGACGCCGTTTGTCGTCTTTCCATTCTGGACATCTAATTGAAGGCAACAGCAGCAGAAATTACAAAGACTCGTTCTAGATAGAGCAACTCCTTTTTAAGCGACAAACTGAGGCATTACTCTGCATGTAAAGCGCTACCTGTTGTTGACTGGCACATTTTTGGAAGCACAAACGTATACGGCCTCTGCTTAAACGTCAAGTCAAAAAGATAGACCTGGAGGAAGGGCACAAATTAATCAGTGAGGGAATAACGGGAAAACAGGATGTGATTGGGTGTTTGTTGTGGGAGACGTCACCTGTTCCCCACCCATGTTAACGAGCAGCTCTGTGCCGTCGGGGCTGAAGGTAACATAGGTGGCCACCAGGACTCTCAGGCGGTTGTTGTAATCTCTGAGTTTCACTGGCAGGTGGCCTGGAGAACACAGGAGAATGTCGTCGTTCCAACAATGCAACAATGTTCCACTACAGGCAGTGTGTTCAACTCAAAAATAATTGTTTAAAATATTTCACTCTACATGCTTCGGTTTTTGAATTTCATTATTTATATTAAATACCTTCTAAATGATTTTCTAATTCATTGAGATGCGTCTATAAGTCAAATATTTCGATATGAGACGATTTGGCCTTGCACTCACCTGCTACATAGTACTGCCCGGCTCCATCAGGGATGGGCTTCTGCCTGTCACAGAAAGTGTGAACAGCCGCTGATGTGTTCTGGCTCAACGATTTCCTGAGTGAGGAGCAAAACTTAACTTTTATTTCAGTTCACAAGCCTCAAATCTGGGAGAACATTGGCAGCAACTTACCTGTAGTTGTGAATCATCCTGATGTCATAGAGACGAACAAAAGGCCCGTTGGCTCCCACTGCCAGGTAGTTGTTGTCCCGTGGATTGACTGCGAGACACTTGGCTTCAGCCAGCTGACCGCAGAACTCCGTCAGGTCGATCAGAACCTCAGAGTGTTTACTGTTCTCCCGCAGATCATACTGCCTGGGGGGTAAAAGAAAAACAAATCTTTTTCAAACATCGTCAACTCTGACTTTGGACCGGATGTGTTTACATCACACAGGCATTGTGAGGGAAATGATCAACGCCTAGAAAACTTGTGTCTGAGCTCACTGTAACAGAACTGAGGATCCACTTCTGCTTCACATGTGTTGATTACTAAAAAACAAAAGGTTCTTTCACATGTTCCTGTCCAGGTTCTGTACTTTTTCCAAACTCAAATCTGAACTGAGTTCTCAGTTTTGAGCACAAATTCAAATGCTTACTAGAAATTCCTGCACATGTATTTAACAATTTAAGATTTTAGAAAGAAAAACTGCAAAAATGATAGATGGAGAAATGGGTAAATGGATAAACCGAGACAAATTAATGAAACAACAGATGCATGCATGGACTGAAGGACATATGGATGATTAACTACAACCTAAAACTAAATTTCTGACTAAAAATAACTAAAACCAGTAACTGGGCTCTCACCTGATGATGCCGTCCTCTGCAGCACTCCAGAAGGTGTTGGGCCACATTGGTGCTGTGGCAATGCGCTTCACTCTGTTGGTGTGATCAGAGAACATGTGGATGGTTTCCTTCACGGTCAGGTCATGGACATGGACCTTTGTGTCAGCTGCGCCTGTTACCAAGATCCTGTCCCCAGAGTGAGGCAGGAACTGTAAACAGAAGGACACGCAGGCTAAAGGTCAGGACATGATTAAGTATTTTACAAAGACAACAATCCAAGTCAAAGTTTACATCTGCGGCCCCATTGTCTCGATAGTTTACCCTAAAACTTTCCCGTTATCCCACCGTATCACTACCTTGACAGAAAATATATTTGCAGCATGACCCGTGTGCATAGTTGTAAGCTTCTTGTGTCTGAATGGGTCCCAGATGATGGCATGTTGATCGTCTGAGCCCGAAGCCAGCAGGCTGAGTACAAAAGAACAACAAACACAAGTTAAGCTGCATTCATTGAAAAATTCATGATTGAAAAAAAATTCAAAGAAAAGAAATTGCATAAATACTGTTGTCTTTCTGCCTTGCCTGCCTGAAGTTGCTTGACTGACACAACAGTGAAGTCTTATTGGCTTCACAGTTTTAGCGCTGAACAAGCATCACTGGGCTTCGTACAGAGATGAATTTTAAAAACAAGCAAATAAAGGCCTAATACATCGGTCAGTGGATAAAGTAAAATCTCTCCAAACGTAGCTAAGAGACTAAAACGGTCACCTACATGCAGGAAGGGGACCGTGGGAAATAGAAAACACACCAAGATACTGACACATTTTCAAGTCTTGAAGACTTACTCTCCTTTTTCGTTCCATTCCAAGCAGTTCACACAGCCAGTATGGCCCTGTAGAGGAAGGTGGCATTGATTGTGAAAAGATACATTAGGTTGTGAACAATATGCTGTAAATGTAACATCATCGGTGCATAACGTCAAAGACTGTTGAGAATGGAGTATTTCCTGACTGCTATTTTCTCCACAGACTGCACAACATCAGGAAAAAAAATGAAGTGGTGATGAATCCATGTTTCCATGCTCATCTCTAGAATCTAAAAACTCAGGATGTGAGTGACGCCAACACACAGCCGGCGTAGTACTTTCGATATGCAAGTCTGAAAACCAGTGTGACCTAACATATGTTTGCATGCCTTTCAAGACTAAAAGAAATTGTTCACAAACAGAAGTTGTGCAGTACAATGTATGTCACTGGTTAAATGAGAAACAAACTCAGTAAACTGAGCTGCAAATTTCATGGCTTTCTTTTATACGTAGCAGTGGCATCCCTGACTTCAAGTAACTCAGTCTTAATACTGATTGCAAATGATATGCATTATTAGATAATGACACAGATGTTAATGTAAGCTGGATGCACTGTAATCATAATTGAAAGATAGATTTATTACAATCAATATCATCACTGAAATGTTTAACAATAATACCACCAACTTATGATTTTTTTTTTTTTTACATTATGCAGCTGTAATTTTCAACCATGCTTCCCTTCTCGGATTCAGCTAAAAAAACAAAACAAACTGTAGAAAGTGCTTGATGTTAAAGACCTGGAGCTCAGTTTCCAGTCCAAGTCTCTTAATGAAGGGGTCAGTTACATGAAAAGACCTTTGGAAGCTCGGCGCTCTCCTGTCCTAAAAACATAAAGCAACATCTCATTAATATACAAAAAAACAACAATAAAGTTTATTTCAGATGAATTATATAAAGAAACCCTTAAGAGTTTCGGGTTTGGTGTGCTTACCCTGATCTGCCTGTGCAGGATCTCCCTGGTGATGTTGACAGCAGCCATGGCCTCACCACGAAGCAGAAATCAACTTTCTGGGGTCAGAGCTCAGACAGCATCTACGTCTGTTTGTTGTGATCAAACTGTAATTTGACATTTGTAGCATCGCGACAGAAAAAGTTGTCCACGATAAACATCAAGAATACGAAATGCGTCTCTCGACAAACACACAGGCACAGCAGATACGGATAAGGTTAGACTTTGCTCACCACAGTGTTGAAGAGAGGAGCGTTTAGCTCCTATCACGAACTCCAGTAAGCCGAAGACACTAGCTGAGCAGCTATTGTTAGCACTGCAGCAACGACAACCCTCTGTTTGCCACAACAAAAGCACTTATCTAAAGGTTATAGCACTGTTAGCTTCACAGACTCCTTTTGAGTCCCGATTAAATCGGGCCTCTAAGAGCCATGTCGTTAATATATCAGCTGGTGTTAGCGCATTGCCGCTACCTTGCTAGCTAAACAAAACGTCTACTTCATGTAGACCTTCGTAAATATCCGCGAAGATTTCATGACTAAGTACAAGAACCAAATAAATCTCACCGGTTTGCTTGTCATAAAAATACTTCTGTCAAAAACTGTCCATTTAACAAACACCACTAACAGACACTGTGAGTTTCTTGACAGGATTCAGGCAAATGCCTTCTTTAAGTTGAACACAAACCTCCTCCCACTGGACATAATTAACCTAGTTCCGCCGGACCAAACACATCCGGGCCGAGAGATTTTCAGAATAAAAGCATCCCACAGGCGAGGGAGCCACAAAGTAAAAACGAATATAAATAGACATTTTTCAGTGGGGAAATTTGTAAAATTTCAGCAGAAAACCAGTAGGACCCTCCAAAATACACACAATAGTTACAAATATCACAAATAAAAAAAGCAAACAATTTAAAATCTCTTTCATCATAAAAAGTCAAAAGGCTGACATAAGATAATCAAATAAAACGAGCATTCCTTTGTGTTAAAATTATAATAAATGTTATTATTATTATTATTATTATTATTATTATTATTATTATTATTTATGTCTCTCTTTTTATTTAAACTTGGCCGAATACATCAAAATTAAAGATTCACCCCTGTAATCCAGCAGCACACATAAAACTGACAGTCTCAATAATCGATATACAGCAAAAAATATGGCACTCATTTTTATGGTAAGATAAAGAAAAAACTACAATCAAATCTTTATTTTCCCTTTAAAGTTTTCTATGTGGAAGTAAATTAATAACAAACTTCACTTACAATCTAAGATCAAAGTGATAGGGAATTACAGATGTGCTGTCGATGTCATAATCTCCAACAAGGCAGCATCAGCATTTGTCATAGCATCACTTCTCTTTTTTTTTTCTTTTTTTTTTTGCAATATCAAACTGTTACACCATAAGAAACTATTAATTCATCTTTACAAAGTAAAAGCAGAGTTGTATGAAGTAAAGTCAATAAGGTGAGTGGGCGATTAAAAAGCAGAATATTATGAGTATGCTTGCCAATGGTTGGTCAGTGCAACCTAATCAACACAGGTAGGCTTTATCTGGATTTTGGTCAAACTGAAGGGACATTAAGTAGGTAGACCTGAAGTCACAAAGGGATTCTAGGATGGAACCCACTTGAGTTGAAACAAAGAAAGGTTTGACTATTTGTGAAGGTCAGTTAGCCCCCAAACCCAAATTTTTAATTTGTACCAATACATGTTTTGTGCCTATACACATTGTCGTATATTATTTTTTTGTACCTATGCACTTAAACCACAGAATATAATTTTGATGTTGTTAAGACTTTCATTGAATCATGGAGAAATGTGGTTCGAAAAAATACTGAAATGTGATCATTTATTTTGATTTTATGTTATTCCTTTTGTTCTATGCTTAACTCCCACTTATTTTGTTTGAATCTCCTTTAGGGCCAGTTGTCTCTTGCAAAAACATGAAAGTTGAGGAGCCCTGAAAAACCCAAAACAACTCTTAAGGGCTCCTAATTTTCAGGTTATATAAACATATAGTCTTTTGGTAAACTTTAAGCAGACAATAGATGATTACATTAAATCGTCTATTGTCAAAGTGACAATAAACGATTGTCACTTTGTATCTTGAACAATGCAAATTGACACAGTTGGTATGGAATGCTCTGCAGTAGATAGCAACATTTCTTACTTAAAAAGGTATTTAGTGGCCACTACTTCTTAAGTCCAACCTGGCAATTTGGTATATAGTGACATAAAAAGACTGAACATAAAGACTATTATGTTGTTTATAAAATTTAATGAATATTTTATTGAATTTCTAATTTCATCAAAACCTTTTTAGTCGCTTGGTTTTTGTGCGCCTTCGCTCGAGAATATTACACCCTTCACCTGCTTACAAAACTTTTTTGTTGCTTATTTTGTATTGCTGCTTATATTTTAAGAATCTGATGTAGAGAGTGTAATCCTCTTTTGCTATCTTCTATTGTAGTAGCAGCATCAGATCTGGTGACTTGAAAAGGTCAAACAAGCTAATGAATTAGGGTGTTTCTGTTTTAGGGACTGCTGTACCACCTCCAGAGATTCTTGTGCAAAGACGGATTCTTCACAAAATCTTCAGCATCCTGTTCTTGAAGAGTGTCTTCAGAGGCTTCTTCAGACTCACTGTAACACCGATTGATACTTGAGATCCTTCCTTCCTACAACATAATCACCACAACTCTTCAAAGACATTTTTATTGTATGAGTTACAATACCAGTTATTTCCCTTTTTGGTAGGTAAATATTTTTTAAATTGAATTTTCATTAATATCCTATTTAACATATAAACAGAAATGTATTTTTAGCTATGTCAGTTTTGTAAAAATTGTTTAGAAATCACAATAGGTATAAATGCGTTTGAAACCTTTGCATAGCTTATTTGCATGTTACTTTAGATTTCTCAGCACATCTTGCTTGGGTTTGCTCGTTTTGTTTTACAGTAGAATTCGGTCAAACGAGAGATGCATGTTCGCTTACCTTGAAATGTTAGCTTACAATATTGAAAGATGCAACAAATTACACATATAGAAGGGTAATCGTTATACAATTATAGAAATGTAACCGTTTAGTTTAAGTACATCCTAAAACGTGTTCACAGATAAATACGGTTGAAGGGTGGGCGGGCGGTGCTGTGACATTAAACGAGCAGCCATTGTGTCTTGAGGGTTGTCTTGGTGAGGAACCGTTGGCTAGCGGAACAACGGCAGCAGCAGCAGCAGTGGATGGTACAGATTCGGCATCAGTTACGAGCCTTTATCCGAGATTTACTTATGCAGTTTCTCTTTATGTAGAAAGTCGGGTAAGTTATCATGCTTTTAAGCGTGTAAATATCGTTTTTTTTTCCTGTGAATTCAATCGCATAAGCTGTTTGGCAATTATGAGGCTGTAGGAACTTCTTTAGCTAAGTAAATCGCAGTGCTGAGTTAGCTGTTAGCTCGCTCGACGGAAACGGATTTACCACGGATTAGCTAATCAGGGTAAGAGCGCTGCGCATCCCAGAACACCAAAAATGTTACGCTGGGGCAAAAAATGTTTTTATGTGTTGGGCTTTTTGCCTAGTCTGGAAGAACAGAGTATGTATTTAAGTAAATTACAGCATCTGTTTTAGTTACGGTTACTCGTGGTTAGCTCTGAGCTTGCTTTGACTCGTTAACAAGGCATTTCCTTTCTGAATTAGCTACTCATTAAGATTAGTTTTAGCTTCCTGGCGGCTTATTTTTCTGTTTGGGTCCATCCGTTTTTGTCACATTCGCTCGTCAAAAACAACGTACAGCTTCACACAGCCAAATAAAGAGAACAAGTTATTGTGAGGGCTATTATGTAAGACATGTGCCCATGTTGTTATTTTTGTTGTAACTTAGAACAGAAAGTCCTGCTTGTGAACAGCTGTTGAGTCCTGTTACAAAACCACAATGTTCTTAATTTACACCGTGTGAGGCCAGGTTTAATATTTTAAAGAGGATTTACCCTGAGAGCCTCGTGTTAAATGTACGTGTTGATATTTTGGTAAACACACCAACAGCTGAATCGCATGATATTTTCAAAGAACCAAAATATAGTACGTTGCAATAATATTATGTCACCTGATCCCTGTAATATTTTGTCGACTCTTGGGTCAGTTTTGGTCACCACTTTTCCAGAAGTAACACATTTGTGGAGTACGTAATCCAGTTTTTCTTTTCCTACCCGAGCTGTGGGTCTTTGGGTCTCCTCCAAAGTTGACATGGTCTTCTTGGCTAGGTTTTCTAGTGATGAACTACACAATGGTTTTTTTGGATCAGTGCATATTACCCCTAACTTAGCTATTTTTCTAAACTTGAACATCTCCACAACTTAATCCTTGACCTTTCTGATGTGTTCCTTAGTTTTTATGATGCTGTTTTTCCAATAACATTCTTTACCAAATCTTTGAGGTTTTCACTCAATATATGTGGTTTCATACTTAAATCAAATCGTGTATGTGACTCAGTATTTGCTAATGAGGTTGCCACTGGCTTTTATTTAAGAGTACCATAGTAGAAACGGCTGAATACAAATGCACACCACACTTTTCAGATGCTACGCTTTGAAAGCATATAGCATTTTCTTTGCACTTCATAATTGTGTGCTCATTTGGGTTGGCCTCCATGCTAATGACATTGAATTGTATGATTGGAACATGATGACAGATGTACAAAAGAGTTAATGACAAGAGTTTTGAATACTTTGTATTGTATCTCTTTTTTTTTCATAGGAAATGCTTAAAAGTAAAGGTACATTTTGAATATTGCTGTACTTATACTTGCTTCTTGCATGTATATTTCCATCAGGTGACATTGTCTTGTATGGAATGACGACCTCACAGAGATATTTTGAATCCAAATCCCCTGGTAAGTTGACACTCAGCTGTGAAAATGTTGACACTGTGCATCAGTTCGTTGCGTGTTGATGTAACACGCCGCTGTCTTTGTGCCCTTTTTTCCAAACACACGTTAGGTCGGTTCGCTGACATGGAGTGGCAGACGCAAGCTGTTTCAGAGAAGTTCCAAAGCCGTTTTGGCCGCCGGCCGGGAACATCCGACAGCGGGGACACCGGGATCGGCACTTCAGCATCTGACAGCATGGAAGGTGATGACTTCTGATAGCTCTTCCTTAGCCCTGTGGCGTGTTGTGTAATATTGTTTTGAAGAATGTCTGGCATAGACAGCAGCCTGCACTTGTACTTGGTAATTACTGTAGATGCTAGCATGCCCAGATGCATGCCCTCAACACTTTTAGGTAGCAGAAATCAAATAGATTTTATCTGTTGTCTTGTTTGCTGGGTTATTCGTGGAGAGGGAAGAGGCTTGTGATCCAACGCCGAAGGGTTTTTATAGAAATAGATAAACGTTCCAGCTACCACTGATCCAAGATTCTGCTTCACTTCTGTGTTGAGAAGATGAGTTGTTGGAACGCCATTACTCAGCAACTGAGCAGGGAGGAGTCCCCTGTCTTGGGTGTGGAAACTGATCATTGTTTTTGTTTTGCCACACATTATGCTTTTAAATGGAAATACTGTTCTGGAGGTGGTTCTGTTGTTAGAACCTGATGAAAAAATATTATCCTAAAATGTGGTTTGTTATGAATGGCCACCTGGGAGGGGAGGCTCCAATTTCCACGGAAAAGACAGTAGAATAATAGATGACATGGTTTATCAGAAGCACAGT